TACGCAAAGGGATGCATTAGAGTGGATACGAATACGGGGGGAGCTGGATTATGGCCCCGTCTGGGGTGTAACCCACGCACACAAGGGCACAGTGAGCACCGTACCCGCGAGGAAATGTCGCATCCCATCGTCTTTTGAGCTGCGTCTCCAGCGCTCCCCACGACATCTGCATTAGCCAGCTGCATCTGTCAACAATTACCATAGGCCTGGAGTCTACGTTTGGCGTTCGGTCTGAGAGCACAAGACTCTGTGTTAAACCATTGTCCCTTCCTTTCACGCAGTCTATCGTACCATAGGGGAATCACCCACGAAGGGCGAAGGCATGAAGACGGCAGTAAAATGTGAGTGCGTTGCAAATGTAATATCAAAAGTTGGAGAAATTGAGTGGGAAAATATATGAACTGTAATGTTAAAGGCTGAATGAAACGGTGGTCAACGTGTAGTATTATCTGAGGTAGACGAATGAGCGTTCTCACTTTAGGACTACAGAGGACGAGCGGGTGTGATGTTTGTGCGGTCATGGTACATATCAGGGGTAAGGAGAGTTACCAAATGCTTCTCTATTATACGTTGACTGGAGCGAGCGCCGCGGCGCACAGCGATTTGAAGAGCGTCCCAGCCCTCTGCATTTACCGCTGTCACATCGGCTCCCCAATCAAGAAGCAGCGAAACGATAGCTACGTGGTTGTGGAAGGCAGCGAACATGAGTGCCGTGTTATCTAACTCGTCAGCAATATCGACGGGCAAGCCGGCACGCAGCAAATACTGAACCACGTCATAGTGTCCTCGACACGCCGCCAGCAGTAATGCGCTCTCTCCGTTCACGCCTCGCACATGCGCGTTGGCGCCGCGAAATAGTAGTAGTTCTACTGCTGCCTTCTGACCGTTTGCGCAAGCCCATAAGAGAGGCGAGAAACCCTAGGCAGATATTAAAGAGGCAAGAGTTGAAGGAGTGAATGTGAAATGTAAACGAGAACCTATATGTACAACTGAACATTGAAGTTATGAAAAGTTGTCGCATAAATAATGTGACTCGCCGTTCAGGATGATAGTAACTCCAATGAGAAATATGCAATATTTGATGGTAATCAAGAGGTCCTTGTTTACCTTCTCATCACGCTCGTCAATATTGACGCCAGGTGTGTCTAGTTTAGCTTGCAGTTGCAGCAACTCACCCTGAGCTGCCATTTGGAAGATGGAGAGGGTGACCTGAGAATCGACTTTGAGAGTTTGCACATTGCGGCGCTGAAGATTGGTGAGCACAGTCGTGACCTTATTAAAGGCAGATGAAGTGTTGTTGATATGACTGGTATCCTTTTTGGGGAGAAAAGAAGGTGTTGGGACGACAATGCGATCAGCCATCTATAAGTAAGCACAAATACCGACCCTGAATGTTTAACCAAAGCTATATGGAGGCAATGCGTTACAAGCATTAATCATCAGGTTAGGTCAACATCACTGAACTAGACGCAAGCAAATAAAGATCGAAAAAGAAAAGCAAGAAAGGAAGCATCATACCTAAAATGTAAAAATGATTTCACAAAATATATCTCAAGGCACACAACAAAGCAAATAGAAGAATTTGAATGCATAAAAATGTGGGAAAAAAACATTTCAGCGTCCAAAACATCCAATCCGGTAGAAGGCTCTAAATAGGGCTGTATATATGTATTCAAGAAAGGGGAGGAGGTTGGATTTCGGCCTGACCAGAATGCCAACCCATGCAAGCAAGAGTGAGATGAATATCATAGTGACCGCCGGTCGTACAGCCAGTCAAACAAACAATACATTACACTATCCACTCTACTGTTGAGCGACGCTCTCGACGCTCACCTCATTACACTTCCACAACAGCCACCCCAACGTACTCCATGCTGCAGGAGAGCACCTACGAACCAACCACGCCAGACGCCAATTCCTGTGGGAGTGAGATTATACGGATGCTCTTTAGCACCTTGAACTGGGTCTGAAGTAACACCCGGTCCAAAAACAGAAACTAAGGCGCATACTCCTCTTTGCTGCCAACTGTGTCCAGGAAGAGACATACTAACGTGGCACCGAAACAACGCTGAGCAAAGAAAACGGGATCAAACGCAGTCTCCTATGAAGTGAAGTCCGGCGTAATGTTCTCGCCGACATTTATGCTCAATTTTAACGATGAAACAAATATGGTACGTCTTCAGATGTATCAGAACGATGCCGTTTCAATCGTTGACGGATTGTCGGCGTACCAGGAGAATGGAGGCGAATACTGGGCGTAGACGCCGTTTCCAGTCATTAATGTGCAGAAAAGATAAATAAGACTTCTGTAAAAGGTACACACTTCATTCACTTCATGGGAGTTCGACAAAGAAATGAAAACTGACATTGAGTTCCTATCAGTAAGATTTGCACGCCTTGCAAAAAGATTAGCGTCCGAGGCCTCTTACTTGATAAAAGAGATCAACCGATTGCGCTGAATACACAAATTCAAGGGGAGAAAAATCCATAGCGTGACTTAAGAGCGAGACCAACTCATGAGAAGAAAAATGAATCCCAGAGTGATCATCAGTCATGCATGCAATCAAATAAACAAGGCGTCACACCATTATCGATATTTTTCCTCAAGAAACTCAAATTAATTAAAGATTTTATTAGAGAAAGTACGAAAAATTTCGATTTTTGTAGAAGTGCACATATTTTTCCAAATTATATTGATCATCACAAAAATTATTTATAGAAAAGAGGTGGTATATTAATTTCCTGATTTTTGGCCCTAACATAGCAAAAGAAGAAAAAGACCTCAAAGTGACCCAAGGCCTGGCTAAATCGGTAAAAGTAAGCTAGTCACTTCGGTAAAATACAATGCAACTCCGCGTTTTTATTATCGACGACACGTCCAACGGTCATTTTAATGTTCTTTCTGTTCTTGTGCGTATCTGCCGGTATTTCAGCGAAGCAAAAGCGCAAAGTTCTTTTACTCATAAAGTGCATGTAATAAACCATACTTACTATCTTCTTCCACATAGGGAGGCGCCTCGGGGACCTGCATTGTTGGCAACAGGAAACGAAGCCGATAATTTTACGGTATCCGTTATGGCGTTTGACGTCTTGACGTATTTTATGGTAAGCTTGGGGACATCTTTACCTCTTTTTATACAGACAAGCTTTCAGTAATAGGATCGACATCTCTGGAAAGCAACACGATATGGTTTGTATCGGGATTCTCATTGTAGCTAATATGCATCAAAGCTGACAGCTGGTTTTCAGTGAAAACTGTATATGGTTCCTAATTCTCTGCCAAACCTGTATTAAGTTGGTTCATTAAATCCCGGTCTTAGTCAAAATAGTTTGTGAACGGAAATGCCTCATCTAAATTCTTGCCCTTAGAGCGACCGCAATTGTAGATCCAGTTACAGTTGCCGTGGAAACCAGACGTAGCCTTCCAGCCTCATGGTAGCCAATGACAAGTGCATCTGGCCAGTGTAGACGTCAAGGTGAGATCCGTAGACGTAGCTCAAAAGAGGAACAATGAATGCAGCACCTTGTTTACATGACTATCCGTGTGCCTAAAGATCACTTCAGTTTTCATCATGGTCTTATGCATGTACTAGAACTGATTCTCTACTAGCATTAACAGTATCGGAAGATGAATATCATGTTGAAGAGGAAGTTGAAGTCGGTCATGCCAAAGTAGCAAGGGTAGGACAACAGAGGCCATACATACCAGGCAAAAAGGTTTACAAAAAAAGAAATAGATATCTGAAAGTTGTAGGGAATTGGTTAGGA